TGGAAAAGCTTAGACTTGGTAATTGTAGAGTTATACTAAATGTTGTTTTGTAGTTGTAAAACTCGAGAGACGTTCATGCCTCTAGCAAAGAAAAATCGAAATTGAATCATGCGTGAAGGGTTTAGAGTTCATGTGTGTTCTGGTTTTGGATATAGAAGCTAAGTGTGTTCCGGTTTGGATAGCGTGTTCAAAAATATATAACTATGAGAGTTTTAACTCAAGAGAATCAGTTTCTTATAGTGTGTTCAAAAATATATAACTCTGAGAGTCTTGCCAAAGGCACGTTCAAGGTGAAGGATATCAACTTGTCTAAAGAATCCAGGATCTCCGAAGAGGCTAAGCGAGTAGCAAAGACTACGATGGCGAGTTTCTTTAGCAAAAACCACCGCGACTTTCTTTTCCTCCTCGGTGAATAAACCAGCTGGTGAGAATGAGATGTGATACGGGCGGCCGTTGACGACTAGTCCGGTATCCAGTGTCAAGAACTTGCTCCAGGACATCCTGTTGGGTTCAATCATAGTGGTAACCCATATCTAAGACTCGTAAGGTTCGCCATGGCGTAACAAAAGGACAAGCTTATCTTCTCTAAGACAAGATAGATCCGCAAACACTTGACGATCCTCTTCCTCGGAGGGAAACGGCAGAGGGAGAAGCGGTCCAAATGTCTCACTTGTAAAATCAAAACAGATCAAGTGATCTCCACGTTCGTCTGAGTTCCTATGTGAAGCACGCCAGTAAACGTTTCCCTTGAAAGGAATGGCAAGGTCACCAAGCAGTATACACCAATGTGGATTACCGACATGGAGAGTCCTCCATGAATCAGAGTCGAAATCGTAGATTTCATAGCATGAAAATGGTTCAACGAGGTAGGTATCCAAAAACCTTAAGATTTTGTGTGATTTCTTGTTATGATCGTAACCAAAAGCGTAGCAGTACTTGTCCTCCCGAACGTGTGGCCAGCGATAAGAGAACCTTGGTGGTTCGATCCACCTTGTTTGGCACAAATACGGATTCCAAACCACGAGCCTAAAAGTGTCTTGCAAGATGCATAACAATAATCCCTCGCAGTGAGAGGATGCATCAAGTCCAAACGACAAGTAAACAAATTACCTTAAAAGCCACCACATTGATTATAATGTCAGGTTGCAATGGTAGGATACAAGCAAAAGTTATGAGAGAAGCTGGAACACTACCAATCCCTGCAGAAAAACCTCACTTAGTTAACATACTTGTAGCATCAAAAGTTGAGCCATGGCAAGACTAACAACAGCCGCTGCTAGCTGATTGGTTGACTAAGTAGCAGAAGAAACTTTTGACTGATCTACCTGTATATTCCAAATCAAACAGCTGTTATTTACAAAATCCAAAACCAAAAGATGTAATGAAACTAAAATAGTCATTACTCTCAACTATTCTCGGTTTAGATAACAGAATCAATGACCATAAAATTCAATGCACCTTTGGTTTCTCGGTTTTAGGTAGGCTAGCTCCTTTAGCTGACAACGTCTTGCTGTGGTTCAAAATCTCACTCATTATAAGGGTTAACCATCCCTGAGAAATTGGGACAGAGTGTGGTCCATAGTCCTCAAAAGTGCGTGAAAGGATTCTTCTTGCTGAAGATTGAACAGTCTCAGATGCAACTTTTCCAAGAGCCCATGAAAGTAGTATGCCGGACCATTTCTGACTCTCTTCANGAGATAAATGCATGTCACCTGTACAGAGTAATTCTAGAGCCTTTGANAAACCTTCTTGCACTGCTCTGTGCTTTTTTGTTTTCCTAGCACTATCTCTCATCTGATGAAGACCCTTCTCCATTANCATCTTCTGGGCTTTGTCACTTCTGTCAACGGAGACTAAAAAGGCAGACAAAGCAACTTGAGCCAAAGAGATATCCTCAGTTGTACAGGCATGTGAAACAGTGGCAAGCAAACTGGAACTCCAGTCAGAAACAGAATCGCTTAATGGAAGATTATGATCCTCCAACAGCAACCGAGCTACCAAACTCCCATGCCATTTCACAGTCCTCTCTGGTGCCATTAGTCATGACAACTTGCCCATCACGATCAAGTTCTTGAATATGAGATCTATTCGTACTAGAAGCCATTGCCCAGTTCGCCAATGCCCACGCAGCAAATGGCACTGCGACATGTTCACAATGTAAATCATCCCAAAGACCAGGAATGACAGCCGATGACAGATTAGCTTGCGAAGAATTATCATGTTTACTTAGCAATGCAAATGTTTTAGTGGTTCCCTCTCCAGCTTTAGCATTAAGGTCACCTAACGGCACAAGCCCACTGGTTCTTGATAGTCCCAGAACCGTGGTTCCTTCAAGGATTTCAATTCCAATTCCCTTAATCCCACTTCTTCCATCATCACTGTCATCATCTTTTTCTGGCTCATCAAAATACATACCACCTTCCTCAATTACTTGAATTGCCGCAGCAATATCTCTCATTGTAGGATTTCCCGGCAATGATGACTTAAAAGGTGTCTTTTCTATTGTGTCACAGTTGGAAGTGACGATATCCATTATGGCAGCCACAAGCATGCTCCTACCTTTCAAAGAATCAGAAATATCGAATGAACTACGTCTTGAATGCTGCTCCCAAAGAAAAGCTATATATCAGTGACAAAACACAACCAGAAGCATCACATTATCAAGACTCATATGTCTCAAAAACCTTATCATGTGTAAATAACAATGACAAATCTCTAACATGACACTTGATAAACAACCCTAGATATACACAAAACTCATTGTTCAAGCTTATCATAGAAATGCACTTGAGTTATTCTAAATCCTAAAATTCAATCTAGATTCATATTAGCTGGCTCGTCACAGTATCCATTACATCTAATCTGAATAATCCTTCTATTGACTCCTGAACAATTGATTCTATTCACTAAGAAACAACAAGTGGAAACCAAAACGCACCTTTTTTGTTTTTTGGTTGACAAGAGAATATGAACTTAGGCACTGCATCGGGCCTTGCTAGAGCTTAATCATCAGGAAAAGCAAATAGAAAGTTAAAGGCTTTAAAGCTTAATCTTACATTGTGAACAAGACACACATGTCAACTTGAGAAAATTTACTTACCTCGTCAGCTAGACTTGGATGATAATTGTATTGATGGAAACAGAGAAGATCTGCAGGTAGTCATGCAGAAAACGACAATGGTATCTCTTCTCCCTTCTTCTAGAAATCTTTCAAGGTTCTGATCTCAGAAAGAACAGGACTTTCCTTCCCTATCAGTGTCAAATCGATTGGTAAACGCATCTTTTGAAGTCTCCACTTCTATTCACTAGTGTATTTTACTTACCCACGGAGAAAGAGAATCGTTGAACTCAATAAAAAGAATGTAGAGGCGTTAAGGCTGGAGGCTGATTTATTGAAAGCAATTGTGACAATAGAAGCAAGCATAACACAGCAGACAGAATCTTTCAAGAAGGTTTGATTCATATAGAAACAAGGAAAAAGGGACAAATATTAAACATAATCAGGATTCTGATACAGTGAGATGTGGAAAAACATATACTCCTGAAACAAAACACATATCAGCAAAAGAAAATATACTTATCTCAGACCACTTGGCTTGGTTAGGAATTTTAGTAATAGTACAGGACTAAACTCTCTCCACAATGCTCCTAGCTCTCACTCTTGGGACATGAAACTGAAACTAAGATAAAAGTTATGAAACAAGCATCACCATGAGAAAAAAAAACTTATCCACTGCTTAGAAGATAGGTGAAAAACTCTCATTCTTTCAGTCGGAAAATCGTAATCATAACATAGTCTTGTAAAGAAAGGCTACACATCTCTATGGAACAATTTTTAAACCCTACGCTACACAGACTGTAATGAATCACGTATGTTACATCTGATTGAGGTCCACTGGGTTCTCCATGCACTGTCTTAAAATGAACTCTGCCCTTCTCCTTTTGTCATCTCTATCCTCCTCACGCACATACGATATGGGTCTATCTTCACCCTTCATCTGCAAACTTAGATCCAACGGTTGTCCTAGAAATTTCTTCTCAGTTCTGAGCTTAGAAAGCACAACAGGTTTTGTCCTCTTCCATTCAGTATCAGCTTCACTGCAAAACCCATCTCTTGCAGCATCCATGGCAGGACCAAATGCTTCTATCACTGATAAACCATCTCTGTTCAATGATTCAACTTTCTCCCCCGATATCGAAGGCGATACACAACGCAGTTCTTTATCCTCAGCTTCTCTGATTTCTTCTTTCACAGTATCCATATCTCCCCACACATGATTCCCTGAGGAGATTTTACAGACAAGTTTCCTCTGCAAACTCAACAAAGCTCTCTCCGCTTTCCGTCTCTGCCTCGCTTGCTCAATCTTATCTCCTCTAGGATCTGATGCTCTTTCGATCCACATAGGTGTTTCCTTATACGTATGAGGATCAGGAAAAGCCGGTAACCAAAGAGGAATATGTTTCCCAGGTGGTGTTTCACCAATTTCATCAAAACTAGGAATCATCATCTTCTTCTTACTCCTATCACTTATAGCTACAGGAAAACGAGGCAATGGCTGCATAAAAGGGTTTTCTTCACTCGAATCAACGAAATCGATGATTTCCCTAAGCTTAACCGAACGAACAACAGAACAACTCTCAGCGGAGATCTTTTCGACTCCATTACTACCATTCAAATCTTCCAAAGCGAGAGCTATATCGAAAACGTTACACTGACTCCTACCAGTTAGGTTAGCGAAGGAAGTAGCGGTTTTACCTATCTGAAGAATGTACTGAACAGCGAATCTCGCTAGAGATTCAAGAGCTGGATCCTTGAATTGCTCGTACCCAACGCTCTCGCAGACCTGAGCTACTGCAACTTTAGCAGCAGCGTGGCTAAACTCGTATGAATTTGAACAGCTCGAGGAAGAAGCAGGATCTTTACTATCACCTTCTAGTGCTCTCTCGTCGTCGCTCATTGCCCGAAATCTTACAAGACCTTTCTCTAATTCCCTGAAATTAGGGTTTTCTCATTCTTCGGACAGCATTCCACCGCCGGTAAAAAGTTCACCGGAGAAATTGCTTCCGTCAACGGAATTAATCTGACGACGGAGCGCCGGAAAACGAGAAGAAAGGAAGAGAGAGAGAGGAATCGTTAGGAAAGAGAAATGGGTCTTGAGAATTTCTACGATCGCTCGGTTTATATAGCAACCTCTACTTCTACCCCCAAAATTAACGACCAAATTTATTTTATTTTGTTTTGTGAAAATAAAAATCAAACAAATAAATAGAGATTATTTATAATTATTTGGAATAAATCCCCAAAACTCATTAAATTGTAGGGAAATTTATAAAAATAATTAGATTTTTTAACTCAAAAATAATTTCCCAATTATCTCTAAAATTGTTTTAGTGACATTTTCTCCCATTTTGTTCACTTTAAACCAAATGTTTTGAACATGAAAATGATATGTCTACACAACATGAATAATAGACAAATCTGATTACGATTACGGTAAATACAAATCTGATTACGATCAAAAGAGATATTAGACTTTGAATTACAACAAAACCACTTACAAAAGTTACAAATACAAGCATAAAACTACATTAATTTTTTAAGTACACTCTTTGACATAACGAAAATGTATTTGAATTTGAAATACAACCACAAGACTTTAAATAAATCAAGCAAGCTGCAACAACTCTTCACGTTTAATGTCGAATACCTTCACCAAAACATCTTCCACGACCTGCAAAATTCACAACAAAAGATTCATGTATGTCGCGAGAAAACTAAGGAACAAAAAACAGATGCAAATGAAAGTATATATATATCCTTTACCTTATCTGGGGTTGATGCACCTGATGTAACACCAATGGTGATCGGTCCCTTTGGAAGAAAATTCTCCTTTTCGACAAGCTCTCCGTACTATCAATGTAAAAGAGAAAGATCGGTGAAAGGTATTTTTGGGAGGAATGAGTTAGTTTTGGAAATGGACTTTGTTGTACTTACGTGGAGCTTATAGGCTATTTTGTTCCCAGGTCCTATCCGTTGCTCGCTGTCGATCCAGTAAGATGGGATTCCACGTGCCTCTGCGATTTCCTGAAGGTGAGAAGTGTTGCTTGAATTCCAACCGCCAACCACTAGCATGAGGTCAATCTTCTCTTCCACTAGCTCATAGATTGCGTCTTGTCGCTCCTGAAAAGAAAATACGACTGATGAATACAAAAATTCTAGTGTAAAAACAGAAGATTTTGAGGTATGGGAAATTTACTTGAGTTGCATCGCATATTGTGTTGAAGCTGATGAAATGTTCATTTACATTTTCCACTCCATACTTACGCATCATTGTCTTCTCAATTAATTTTCCTGTGGTTTTTGTATGGTTTTCTCAGTATGAGACTCAGACTAAGGTGTTTTTGTTTCTTAAGGATAAAAGATGATTGTCATGTAAAACAAACCTATCTCCTCTGTTTCTCCCTTGAGCATCGTTGTTTGGTTTGCAATACCGACTTTGATAAGGTCTTTGTCGGGGTCAAAACCCTTTGATACGGCATATTTGAATTTCTACAACGCCAACACAGAGATTAGAACAAAAGAACATCAATCTAAAGACATAAAATGTGTTAAAGAAGAGCTCTTACCTCCATGAATTCCTCTTTTGTGGAGCTAGATCCATCAAATTGGCCACCGAGAATGTAATCACAAACATAATTTGCCTGTGCTCAGTATTAAGGTACCCATTAGTAACAGTCTTGCAACACTCTATGAATTTCTTGAATATACAAAGTTTGACAGTACAAAGACAAACCTCTTTCATGTTCTTTACAATGATGTACTTTCCTGCAAAAGACGCAGTTGCAATGGTCTCTTCATGATTATATTTACCGTGAATGATCGATGTATATTCCCCCTTCTTGTGCTTCTCAACCATGTTCCAGACCTTTCGAGCCACAAATGTCAAAAAGGAAAGAAACCAATCAGGTGCATGAAATTTGAGATGATAACAAGAGAAATGTACCTAAATCTGATGAAATTTAGTACCTTTGTCACCCAAGGACAGGTCGTGTCGACAATTTGCACCTTTTTATCATTCAGAACATACATCTCATCCACGCCAGCTCCAAATGCAGGAAGGATAACCACATCATCTTTATCTACTACATCAAACTGCTTCTTTGAATCCTCAACCGGAATAATTTTAACATCCATTTCTTCTAACCTCTGCCATAAAAACCGAAACATTTAAAAAATAAAAGAAGAGCATATGAAGAGTAGATAGGCAAGTCATCAATGTTCAATGCACTTCAACTATTTAGCAAACTTATTAAAGGAGACTGAATAAAACTACCAGAGATGGTAAAGTAATACCTAAAAAGCGTAAATGACAAGTCCTACGATGACTACAGACCTTATTGACAGTCGGGTTATGAATAATTTCGTTAGTAATCCAAAGCCTCTCCTCTGGAAACTGCCTTCTTGCTTCATATGCAATCTGAACAGCACGCTCAACTCCCCAGCAAAAGCCATATGCTTTAGCGAGTTTCACCGTAACATCTCCCCATGAATACATATACCCATTTGTTTTCAGTGTCTCCAATATATCACCTGAGAGTGTCAATTACAAATAACAAAATGAATCATCATCCAATTGATTCTTATTTCCTAAGTACAACTTCAATTCACACTTCAGTAATCTCTTATAAACCTTCAAAAGATACAATTTTTTTCTAATTCTAACAAAAGAAACAACTTTTATGACTCTGACCTCTTTCAATCACAAACCCAGATCTTCGATTTCATTGCAGCTCAATCAATCACTTAGTTTCTCGACTACCAAAAACAGAGTCAGTGAAAAAAAGAGGAGCTACTTACTGGTGTACTCTCGATTCATGAGCTTGAGAGTCTCTTCCTTGTGACCGAAACCTTTACGATTGTAATTCTCGCTTCTCGTCAAGTTCTTACGGAAAATCTTCGCGTCGAAATCGGAATCCATCACTACCGATGGTGAAGGAATGTCCTCATCTCCAGAAGAGCACCGGACTGATAAAGTTTTCCGGCGCCGGAGAGACCCAGATCGAGCGAAATGATTCTCCAGCACGAACGTATCTGGCCGGACGCATAATCGGCAGAATTGAAGCGCAACAGCCATGGCTAAGAGTCGGAGAGAAGACGCACTAAGCAACAACGACGATGATGACTGTGAAATTCTAATGGATGGTCTCCGCAATTTATCTCAAACATCTGAATTGGAAAAAAAAATAAAAATCGTGTAAAATGCAACCAACCACGTGGACATGTAATTTTTTGTCTTTATTTTTTTGGAATTGATTTGAAAATTCGTGTAAAAGGATGTACCTAGGCCACAAAAATGGTTCATGAAAGTGAAGTCTTGCAGTTGCAAATTTATGGTTAAACTCTTAAGATGTGTGATTGGTGAATTTGGATTCTAGATTGTTTCATAATTTGTCATCTTGTTATATACACATGTTTCATGGATGTTGATTATAGCATTGTCATAGACAAACATAAAAAGGTGAAACATACACTCATAGAAAGAAAAAGGTACAAATAAGATTTTACAACTCCGGTCATGGAAAATGCACAAACATATATATTTGTTGATTACAAACAAACAAAAAACGCGTATGTTTTCATTTACGTGAAATTTCAAAAAATGCCATTTTTCAAGTGTCATTTTATAAAAATATCATATTTTTACAATTTTTGCAAAAATGTCACATTTTTACAATCTTTGCAAAAATACCACATTTTCAAAATTATTTATTCATTATATCATTTATGTTTGGGTTAACTATATTGTATTAGGGTTTAGTTTTGAGGGTTTAAAGGGTTTTAGGGGTAAAAAAAATTTTTAGGGTTTAGAATTTTAAGATTTAGGCTCTAAAAATCATAATTAGC